GGTCGTCCACTTAAGCCAAATGGATGTCCAGATTTCCTGGCACGTTACCCTATAAATAGGGCCTCGGGCCTCATTTCTCACATTCCACACACTTCACACTCTCTTATGCTCTAGATGACCTATTTTGGGACTTCTTAGCAACTCTGAGCATTATTCCAAAGTACAAGTGACCTTTTGACACTTGAGGAGTTTAGTTTTTATTTTTTGTTCCAGGAGGAGTGTCTCTGTAGAGTGCGGGGACTACCAAAAAGCGTCCTCATGTTCAAGATTTATAAAAGTTCACTTCGGAGATTCTTCTTCATATCTCTTCTCATTTATCGCTTTCATTTATTGCTTTTCTTTGTATGCATTAGTTATTAGAGCCATGTAGATAGTCATTTAAATACTGCAATGAATAAATAGGGTAGAAACATAATTTTTATGTCTTTATTTTTAAGATTATTTCATCATAAGGAACCCGAAAGGGGCGTTGTGGGGTGTTAACACCTTCCCCACACGTAACTAACTCCCTTACCCAACTTTGGTTGTAATGGCCAAAGTTGGTTTTCTTAAAACCAACGTCTTCTTTTATTTTCCTTTTCCAATGTTTATGGTAAAAACATTGGTGGCGACTCCAGAACCCTCTTACGAAAACCTCGCTCTTAAAGGTAGTTTGGTTATCGGACATCCTAAAAGCGATGGCCACATTTTTACGTTAAACACGATTCATCAAAACTATTGTATCACACCGACCGTTTTTTACGGTAGTGATAATGACATGTCTAAGGTTATTGGTACTAGTGATATGTGCTTGCAAATTAACACGAGAATATACTTGTTGTTGAGAGAAGTTAAACATGCTCCATATGTTTAATTTAATGAATTAACATGAGAATATAATTGTTGTTGTTTAGAGAAGTTAGGCATCTTTATGGCACCAAAAGATTAGTCATATCAATGAAAAAAAGGACTCAATAACTAAAAAGAATGTTCTTTCAAGATTGAAAAAGTTGAAGAAGTATTCTCATTACATGGGTGAAAGTAGGCCATATCGTTCAAACATTCTTCCCTTAAAAAATCTAAGTTGCTTTAATTGATGCATTCAAATATTTATCATATAGTTAACGTAAATATTTTAGTCTATACTTTATTTTATATTTATTTATTATTGTTCTAAAAGGTTACAGGTTTATGTTTTGAAGGAAAACAATCAAAGTGTTGGAGAAGTTTAAACAATTTTATGCTTTGATTGAAAGGCAATCAAGCTAGAATCTAAATTGTTTTTGAATTGACAATGATCATGAGCATTATGGATCCTATAATTTTTACTACAACATGGTATTGCAATAAAAAGTCTCCTCCAAAAACTTCTCAATAAAATAGTTGAGTATAGATACTTGAATAAGACATTAAGCTGAGAGAATGATGTATATGCACTTTAAAGATAAATTGTCTAAGTATTTTTTAGGTGATGCAATGCATGTTATTAATCTTAGTTTTATTATTACGTTAGATATTGAGGTCACAAATAGTATTTGGTTTAACAAGAATGTCAAGTATGAGAATTTGAGAGTCTTTGGTTGGTAGATATTTTTGCATGTTTCAAATGATGAATGATCATACTTGGATGTGAAGTAAATATAATCTATCTTCATTGGCTAGGGTTACAAGCTTGTGATAAATTGTTATATGAAATTCATGAAAAATCAAACCATTGAAGTCATTAGTAACGTAAATCAATTTACACCTAAAGGTAGATAATAGCGTTATAGATATTGAACTAGACCAACAACTTATTCAAAATAGAATATTGATGTTCATAATCATGATACATCATTATGAAAATGAGCTAGATGTTCCTATTGATGACAATCATGAAAATGAACATGAAATTATACATAATGAAAAGCTATTATTGAATCACTTCATGCTCAACCTAAGATATCCAACAAAAAGAGACAACAACCTAATAAATATTCTCTTGGTGAATTTACGATCTTGACATATGAGGAAAACCATAATCTTACAGAAAGGCCATGAAGAGTTACGAAAAGTAAAAGTTTTTGGAAACAATGAAGGATGAGATGAAATCCTTCTATAGTAATTAAACTTTTGATATGGTAAAGTTGTTTAAGGATGAGAGGGTATTGGATGTAGACCCCAAATCTTGTCCGGTCTCAAAATAAATAGCAGAAGACTTCCGTTCGAAGATGGGCAAGGCCTAAAGGGTCCCTATGATAGACTAATAGGTCACATATTAGAGTAAGAAAGTCTTTTGTACAGAAAAAATAAGAAATTCCACCTAGAAGGCCAAGACCACTGTCTCGTTTGGCGAGATCGTCGTCTCACCATTCGCCAATGGTGAGACCGCCATCTCGTTTGGCAAGACGACCTTCTCGCCATTTGTTAAGGGCGAGACCGCCGTCCTGTTTGACGAGATGGCGGTCCGACCTTGTTAGGCGAGACGGCGGTCCCAAACTGACAGGCGTGAATTCCTATAAAAGGAGGGCGCGACCTCATCCTTTTCACAGCATTCTTCAACTTTCCCTTCTACAACTTTCTCAAATTCTTCTCCTAGGATCCCTCCGAAGCATTTTTGGAGTTTCTTACTATTCTTAGAGGGTGTTCTATAGTGTTGCGAGGAAGAGTGACCAATATTGTAGAGTGGGGGATTGCCAAAAAGCATCATTTACCAAGAGTATTAAATACAAAAGCTTGCTTCGAAGGTTCCTATACTTTCTCTCTTCTTTTACCGCTTTTTTTACATCTATCCGTGCATTAGTCTGTTAGGGCCATGTAGTCAACATTTTAAATTCCGCAAATAAATAAAGGGTAAAAGCGTAATTTTAGAGTTTTTATTTATAAAATAAACGGTCCATGTAGACCCCAAAATCTTGCCCGGCCTCAAAATAAGAGCAAAAGACCTCCTATTCGAAGATGGATGAAGCCTAAAAAGCCACTATGAGAGACTATTAGGCCCCATATTAGGATAGGAAGGATTTTTTGCATTAAAATAAGGATTTTTGCCTTCAGAGGTCGAGACCGTCGTCTCGCTTTTTGGGACCGTCGTCTCGCCATTGCTGCAAGTCGAGACCGCCATCTCGTTTGGCGAGACGGCCGTCTCGCCACTTGCGAATGGCGAGACCCCCGTCCCGTTTGGCGAGAAGGCCTTCTCGTTTCTAGAAAAGTCGATACCGTTGTCTCGCCAAACAAGACGGCAGTCTCGCCACTTTTACAAGTCGAGACCGTCGTCCCGAATGGCGAGATGGCCGTCTCGACCTTGTTAGACGAGACGGTCGTCTCAACCTGATAGGCGCGAATCCCTATAAATAGTAAGCGCTCCCCCCCCCCCTCATTTCACACAGTTCTTCCACTTTCCCTTCTACACTTTCTTCAAATTCTCTTCCTAGAGTCCCTCCAAAGCATTTTCGGAGTTTCTGAGAGTTTTTGAGAGCTTTTTATAGCGTTTCAAGAGAGTTTTCGGCGTTGTAAGAGCGAAGGGTTGCCAAAACGCACCCTATTTTTCAAGAGTATTAATCAAAAGCTTGCCTCGGAGGTTTCTTCACTCTCTCCCTCTCTTTTACTGTCTTTATTTTTGTGATTAAATTGCATAATAGACATTAGGGTCATGTAGTCGTTACTTTAATTCCGTAAATAAAAGGGTAAAAGCGTCTTTTCAAGAGTCTATTCATAAAATAGATGGCCTATCATAGGGAACCCGAAAGGGCGTCGTAAGGGAACTAACACTTCCCTTACACGTAACTAACTCCCTTACCTAAACTCTGGTTTTAACGACCAAAGTTGGTTTTCGAAAACCAACGCCTTTTACCCCTTTTCGATGTTTCGGTAAAAACATCGGTGATGACTCCATAAGAACCCCTTCAAATTAGTTCTTGGGTTAGCCCGGTTATCGGACAATCCAAGAACACCTTTTCGAAAACCTCGCCTCTAGGTTCAGCCCGGTTATCGGACAACCTAAAAGCGTTGTAACATCACCCATAAAAACGCGAAAATGGGAAAGTCAGAACCATCGCGTCGCTCCGACCGCCTCTTTTTTACGGTGGCGACAGTCCATCATAGGGAACCCGAAAGGGGCATCGTAGGGAAGCTAATACATTCCTTGCACATAACTAACTCCCTTACCCAACTCTGATTATAATGACCAAAGTTGGTTTTTTAAACCAACGCCTTCTTTTTCTTCCTTTTCCAATGTTTCCGGATAAAACATTGGTGGCGACTCTAGAACCCTTTTTCAAAAACATCGCCTTTAGGTCCAGCTCAGTTATCGGACAACCTAAAGGTGTTGTATCACACTTTTAAAAACGCAAGTCAAAGTCAGAAATCATCGTATCGCTCTGACCGCCTCTTTTAACGGCGGCGACATTGGATAACGAGTGGATCTATAGGATGAATGATCGAAATACATTTTGTTACCTAAACATATCAAACAAATCTTAACATGAAAAATATTTAGTAACTAGGGAAAATCCTAGATTATATTCTTAGGAGCATTAACAAATTATAATAAACCTAGTTTTCAATTGTGAAAGAGTTATAATAGGGGGATTTGTAAGGTTTTTTGTGTTTAATATCTAAATTAAATAAACAAAAATATATATCTCATTGAAAACAATAAAGGAAAGTAATAAAAATGTGAATTTATGTAATAATAGTGGTTAATTCTTTAATTATCATTTTGTTCCATTGATTTCTAAATCTAAATGTAACTACAAGATAAATCTATAAGAATTACAATTATTCATAACCTAATTAGCTAGATTTAATTGATTCTTAGCATTCAATTGATTTAGAGACACAAATCAACCACATAAACTTAAAATTGATTTATGATATAATTAATCAAACTCAACTCAACAATCTCACCTTCATTAACTCAACAATCTCAATTTCATTAATTATAATGAATTATGAATTGTTAAAGTCATTAAACAATCAAATCTCAATCAATGAATCAACAGTTTATATTAAAAAACTATAAAGCCATTAAAATGCAATAGAAAATGGTAAATAATGTAAATTGCAAGAATTGCCACTCGTGTCTGTTTTGAATTCATGTTTTTTAGTCTCAGCTATAGTAGACTCTTATCTGATAGTATGAGTTGATAGTAGAAGGTTGTCTCCTCTAGGTATCGGATCGACGAAGACCCGACAGCTGTTCATAGGTATCCCTTACTCCACTCCAAGTAAGGGTTCTTTCCTGCATGCACCCCCATCTACATCCAACCGTAACAAGGATCCTAGGCTTCCACTATCCGCACAATCCTATTGAGCCTACACTACAGTAAGAAGTTGGCTTCTTCTATGGTCGGCCCGCCCCTGACTTGCTGGGTTAGGTGGCCGGGTTAGCACCCCCGTCGCCCCTGTACCCGAAACAGATGCGTTGCGCTACCCAGCGCGTAACCTTGTCTCCCCTACTCCTCTTCTGGTTATGCCATTACCAATCGTGGGTAACCCCGGGCCGGCCGCCCCTGACCTAATAAGATAAGAACGATTATCCTTATGACCAAACAGCGATAGTTTCACGATCCCGACCAGCAACTTGTTGGGAGTAGGGGCATCCAAGCTTGCCCAACCTAGACATTGTAACTGAAAGTCCTGCCTACTTGTATGTAGGCTTAGGGTAAAGCAAAGAAAAAAATGATCTAAAGTTGCAAAAATTGAAGATCTTCAATGTATAATACAAAATTAATTGTATACACTAAGAACTAAACAAAAACTAAATAGAATTTAAAAATTAAATCTAAAACTAAATTAAAACTAGAAAAAACTTATGTCTTATGACATTCTAAAATTTATTTATACAACAACAAATACATTAAAATGCACAAGGTCCATACAAAGCCCATAAACAATAAATTGCAAAACTTAAAACTTGATTCTTCAATTATGCAAAAAACTAGTTTGCAACCTCTTTGTGAAGTATATCCTTATTTTGTTATACAATATTTTTGCTTGGTAGAATACTTCATTAAGTAGATTGATCATTCAAGAATATGCTTTTTTTGTCTAATATTTGTTGAGCAAAATGTTTCTTTGTTGAGTGAAGTATTTTTTTATTGAGTAAATATACTTAAAATCAAATATTTAATCTTCTTAGTTTATCATTCTTGCATGTATAAATATTTAGTAAAACATATAATTTAATCAATAAATTGACTAAATATTTATTCAATCATATTTTACTAAAACTATGTTAACACTAAGTAATTAAATAATAATAATAATAAGATAATTTTATGTAAAATGTACAAATATAAACATAGATACAAGTTTATCCCTTGTTGTAGAATTATATATATATATATATATATATATATATATATATATATATATATATAAAGTTTAATATCCATTGAATCAATATGAAACGACATGATTTTCTTAAGAGTGAATATGTGTGTAATAGAAGTGTTCAAAATTGAACCAATCCAAAAATAAAATTGATCAAAATTAAAATTCTTTATATTTTTTTATTGAAAATTTTTAAAATCGATCAGATCAATTTTCGATATGATAGTCAAAAACTAACACAAACCAAATCGAATCAAAATTATCATATATATATATATATATATATATATATATATATATATATATATATATATATATATATATATATATATATATATATATATATATATATATATTACTGAAATGAAAACATAAATGATTATTACTATGAGTGGGTCATTAGTTTCTTATAATTTAGAAGATATATTTGCTATAATTAAAATTAGATGTTGAAGCACATGATAATAAATTAAAACTATAGTTATCACAAATAATTATGCATTATTTTTTTATAATATATTTATTTATTTAATACTTTAATAATAAATCATAAAAATTGTGCAAACCAAATTGTAATATAATTATTTGGTTTAGTTTGATTTTTTTTTTAATTAAAATCAAACCAAATCACACTACAAACACCCTTATACGTGGATGTTAAATCAGATTTAGTTCGATAAATATGAGAAATTGGTCATGCTAAAACAAAAAATTTGTTGTCTAAATTAAATTATACTTATTTTGCTCAGGCCCATTTAGACCATTGTCTATATGGGTTTAGGCCAAACTAACCCGTAGGCTTATCAGTTGGCTCATTCTATAAATAATAAATATTTTTTAAATAAGAATAAAAGTAATATTATTTTACTAAAAATACCTATGTATTATAAATTAATTTGATAAGGGATTAACTTATTTAAGAGTAAATATAAGAATAAATCTTTAACATTCACTTAGTTAAAGATCTAATAGTTAAGATTAATTACTATTTTAAATTAATAAATTATTAAAAAAAGCGAATGAAGATAATGATGAATAAGTTTTTAACTCTTATTTTATGACTAAATGAATATCATATCTTAATTTATATATATTAAATCATCATATTTAAAATAAAAATTAATTTCATTAATATAATTTAAATTTTTAAAATATATCATTTGTTTTTAATTTTTATTTAAACACTTTTTAATTATTTATTTTAATCTAGATAAGTTTTTTTTTTTAATTTTCAATAAGGGAAAAATTGGTCTATTAGCCCATTAACCTATCATAAGGAGACAAAAAAAGATTATGAGCCATTTGAAAATATATGTCAAATTGAGTTATCACCATTTTTTACTTGGTCCATATGATTGTACCAAGTTGGTTGAGACACGTGTTTTGATCATCCTATCTATATGGTTTAAAGAAAACTAAGATAATGGTATAAAAAAATTGAGTTTTGTATTTGTAAACAAATTATAAGAAGACTACTCTTGACCAATGTGAACATTTCTCACTTATATATGGTTTATCTTGCTCATTTTTACACAATTTAAGACTTTAACTCACATTTGAACTTCAACAATCTCTTTAAGTGTGAGTTTCTTCCGCAATGGTATACTCCTATCAAGTGGAAACATTTTTTTCCTTTGCTTTTACCATTAAAACATTTCTCCCCACTTTGTATCATTATTTACTACAATAGAAGTTTAAGGGATCGTACAAACTTAGATTCATCATTCATGTTTATCGCATGAATTTTTGTAGTTCTTTGAGGAGAAACACAAAAGAGATCTTTTACTAATGGATCATGAGCCTACTATATCGAGAGTGACATCATCTTCAACTTAAAACCTTAAGACAATAGGTTTGTTATTCTTTTTTTTATATATTGTTCATGTTGCATATTTTTACACAATGTAGGACTCCAACTTACAATTGAGCCATAACAAATCCTTCATCAAGTTTGAGTTTCTTTCACATTAGTACAATTTGATGTTTACTACACACTTATATGAATCCTTACTTAGAAGACATTCAATACTTGTGGTTCTTGGAGGACAATTACGAGGGATGTTTTACCAATGGATCATGAGCATATTATATAAAAGAATTTGATATTATATTTAACCAAAAAAGTAAAGATAATAGGTTTGTGGATCCTTTTAATTACATATTACTCATCTTGTCCATTATTACACAATGTGAGATTCAATTCACATTTGATTTTCCATAGGTAGTATGATGATTTCGTTGTCATGTTAAAGCTATGGTTAGTGTTGGAAAATATATGTCCAAGAATGATAAATTGATAAAACAATTCGGTAAATCATTTATCATAAAAATATGGAAGCTACTAAACAAATTATTATTATAAGAATTAGACAGTGCAAAAAGGAGAAAAAGTTTTGGTTGTCAAAAGAATATTATATTAAAAGATTATTGTGAAGATCCAGGTGGAAAAAGCCAAGATGGTAAATACTCCTTTTCTACTCAACTTAAGTTGAGTTGTAACACAAAGTCCACAAATGAAGATAATAATTTAGATAAGCAAGGAGCTCCTTATGCATATGATGAGTAGTCTAATGTACGTTATGTAAGCATAATACTATATATAGCACATATTGTTTACATAGATATTTAATTTTATTGACATGAAACTTTGTGTATAACGGTGATAAACATACTTTGACAAATACTCAATTTCAAATAAGACATTGATTTTAAGAAGTACATTTCGGGTATTTGATTAATTTTGCATGGGAGCTATGACTTCATAATCTATGTAAAAGGTGTGAATTTTGGTCTCCTACATAGACAAAATTAATTGGCATTACTTAAACATACAAAAAGTAACTTTGAATGAATAAATTCTTGTAAATGGTTTTGTTTAAGAAAAATATCTACTATTTATAAATAGTCATATTGTTATTTAGTTTAGTAAGAATTAAATTTTTAATTCAAAATTTAAACAAATCAATGTAAAATATCATTGAATGTGAGATGTTTTGAATGTTAAATGGTTTAAGTCAACAAGATTCATATTAATTATAATAGTGTTTATATCATTCATATTAATTATCGTAACGTTGATATCATTGTGTTTTTTCGCAAACCTACCAAAATGCATATTTTTTTTAATTTCAATTGGGAGCTTGTCCCCTATCAAATTAAGTTGAATTTTGGACTACGACTATATTTTACGGTTTTCCATCTTCACTATGAACATTGTTGTTTGATTTGTTTTTACTAACTCTGAGTTTACGCACCAGTTGGAGACTCTCTGTATCTTTTATTTACTCTTGTTTTCTTGTCCTGCAATATTTTATTAATATTTCTCACAAATTCTTTTGAAGAAAATTTTACTACGCTACTTATTTACTTTGATATATGAATCATTAATTTGATATGTTCTACCATCAGTTGGTTCTTTAAACATTTTTACTATCATCACCCAACTTGTTTCTTCGAAAGTTTTCACTATCATCCCCGTCATCTTCATAATGTCACATTCATTTTCCCATGTCGTCTATAACAAAAGAAATTGTAAATTCAAATTTTGGGACAGATTCTTTGCATGCAATTTTTAGCATATGCCAATTCAGCATTTATAACTCTTGCAAAACTGGTAAACTAAACAAAAAGATAGATGAGTTCGTTTTACTCTACTCGGTTTTACAATTTTGAAAGAATGAAGAAAATCACTAAACGTAAAAGCAAGAATACATCCTGTGGTGCGAAGAGAATCTTACTTCACTACTACTTAAGTCTTAATGTTTACTTCTTGTTACCAAAAAAACTTTTCAGAACTGATCATCTAACTTAAAAGACCACAAATTTCGAAAGGATGGAACGAATAAATGTTAAATGGACACAAACACACACAACACATTAAACAGTCACAGTCGCCAGAGAAGACTTCTACAACAACATAACCAGGATTCCGAACTAATCTAAGTAAATCATACATGACCATTATACATACACAACCAAAACAACATTATTAATGGAACAGTAAAGGACACAGTTGATTTTTTTTCAATGCAAATTCAAAAGAAAAATACAAGCATTTGGCCAAAACGGTATTAGTACATAGCCACATGAAAGAATTTACATTAAAATGGCAGCCTAACTATTTGCATTTATAATCCAGCAGTGAAAATAAGATGGGGCAAATATGACAATCTCAGAAAGCCTCTCTACCAAGGG